TACAGTTTATACAGATAATGCTACTATTTGCTAAGATCCAAAACATTCTTCTTGATGCTGCACAAGATACATGGTGTGAATAGTCCTTGCTTCAGATCACACGGCCCCACCCACTACATAGCAGGCAGAAGCAGGATGCCCAGAAGCACAACTAAGAAAATTTTCTTGCTTAGTGCAGTCAGCAGGAAATGCAGATTTCCAGGGTGTTTGGGTGGGAAAGAAGACAGCAGTAGGTGGAGGTGAATGAAGACAACATACCAAACCAAGAGCAACATGGAAGATGGCACCAGCAGAAGCAAGGGAAGCAAACAAGCTGTGTGCTGGCAGGGCAAGGAGACAAGATGGGAAGAGACAGAGCTCACGCAGCTGCCATCAAATGTCACCCCTGGTCAGGTTCCCTCAGGATCCTTCCTCTTCCACAAAGAGCATTACAGTTCTTCCCAGTTAAGACCACAGTAATGAGCTCTACCTGTTAAATCTAGCTGTCCCATGAAAGAAAAACATATGACATGCAGTGGGACTTGAAAGGGGGAAATGGGGTGCTTTTAAAAGATTTGTAAAAGATGCTTCTGCTCCCAAGGCTGCCTTCAGTTTGCAAAAGCCTCTGACTCATTAGGAGACAAACTCAACGCTCAATGTTGTGCCAACTTCTGATGAAAATAAAACCTTCTGTCTGTCCGATTTGTTAAGTTCTGCAAGAAAAAGCATTTGATGAACCTGGGCATCCTTCACTCAGGACTCATCACAACTTCAGTGTTACAACCAATTGGTAGTAGCAAATTAGTAGAAAAGGAATGACATGTGAGCACAGTACAAGAGCTTGCTGTGTCTTAACCAGAGAGAAAGTTAGTTATAAGCACTGATAAATGGTCTAAACTTGGAGCTCAGAAAAATTTTCTGGGATCCTTGTATCATTGCTTTTCAGTTCATATTTGCCTCTGGACAAAAACTGGGAAGTTTTCACTGGTGTCCCTGAAGACTCAACTGACATGGTAAAATCGTGACATATTTTTGTTAAAGCTGAAAAAAGTGGTTTGATTCCCAAAATCCTCTGGGTGTTCATGGTGCTTTTAGATCAAGAAAGCCATGGATGGATGATGCATATTTAATTCAGAAATCTCACAGAAGCAGTGAACGCTGACACATCCACACACAAACCAACACTTTTACAGAGTGGTTTTCAGGTGGGCTGTAAACATGTGCTGTAAGAACAAAACCTTACCTGGGATTAACACAAATAAATATGTCTAATTTCAATAAAATGTGCAGATACTACTGGACATACTTCTGTATAGAAAAAGATACTTTTATGAGGTTAGAGATACCTTTATGCGATAAAATTGCAATGCATTCATGTTGTGCATCCACAGTAGTGAACTCACAACAGTAATCCTTACTTTAATTATGCACTCAAAAAAATTCCTCTCCAAGATGGAGTGTGTCAGCACTATAAAAGGCAGAAGAATTTCCAGAAGTCTGACACATCAGAGAAGAATGAAGATTCAGAAAGGTGGCATTTATTACTATTCCAAAGAATACAACTTTAATGAATTATAGGAATACAGACTGAAAAGAATACCAGTGATCTAACTGAACGTCTAGAACACCTGGATGACCGTATATATTATTACCTAGTTCCATAGAAGTATCACTGGAGACATTTCAATGCCAAGTTACTTTGAACATCAGCTAAGTAGTTTGTTGCTATGGCCTGAAATGCGGTTTTCCATCAGCCTAAGAGCTACATTAAGTGTCAAGTGGAAAGGCACCATACTTTCACAAGACTCTCATAGTTTTCCAAGAAAGCACCAATCTGATTAGCAAATTGTCTTGGAAGAACTAGAAGATTAGAGAAAGAGCACAAAATAAAACATTTTTAAGCTAAAATATTTTTTTAAGTCTTCTGGAAGAGAAGGTAGATTTTTGGGGCTGAGAAAGTAACAGGAAGTTAAAATTAGTCTAAAAAGTTTAAGGACATTATTAGTCTAAAAAGTTTAAGGACATAATCTATTAGCACGATGACAGTTTCTTTACAGGACATTACTGGAGAGCTATTTCACACTCCTCAGAATCTTGAAAACAGCTAGAATTTTCTACTAAATTTTCCAGTTCCTAAATGAAACTACACCAGAAGATTTTTAAGACAATAAAAGCTACCTTAATTTTCAGTAAAACTCAATCTCTGACACACATCTGGAATTAGGACTGCTCGAGGCAAAGAGCTGGAACAAAGAGCGTCCTTGGATTCACCCTCTGCAGGGGCACTGCAAGTGCCACAGTGAAAGTATCTCAGCAAATCACAAACCTCACACTCCTTTTGATAACTGTGCCTGGCCTAACAAGATCCTTACAGACTGTAAGTGTCCTACAGAAAAATCGTAAAAAGAGAGCTCGCTAGAGCAGCAAGTGAAGAACAAGCTGTATGGAGTCAGCACCATCCTCTACACATAAAACCCAGACCATTGCATTTCCACGCAAGCTGGAGCTGCTGCTAGCTGCTTTTTCCAGATGTGACCTGAAAAACACTGCATAGGGGCAGCCTAGAATGGATCTTACAATGAGATAGATAACGCTAATTGCCACTTTATTCCTCCTAATAGATTGATCTCCCCTCTTTCGCACTCCAGAGATGGAACTGGTGTTAGAAACCAACCAAAAAAACTAAGATTTGGGGCCCAGATTTAATAGCAACACCTGTGCAGAATAAAATTAAATCCATGTTCCCAACTTTAAATACTTTTATTTTTAAAATCTTTCTGTCTCCCCCTAGTGGTCCTAGTAGCTTCTTAGAAGGAATATAATAAGCAGAATCCTGCTGATCTCCAGATATCCCCACTTCCTGAGAAAAATACAGTCATTGGCCTGCCTCCATCCTAATTTGGAGGCTTCACAAAGAAAGAACAAATCTAATTAAAATACCCACATGCTCATAAAGCAGAAAAGTCATAAAATGTTACAGAAAACATTTGCCAGAACCAGGTGTTTAAGCTACACGGATCTTCACAAGGACTTTCCCAGAAATCTGAATGAAGTTAAAATACTACTACTAAGAAGCCTTATTTGGACAATAAAGACAGCATTGCTAAAAGCAGGCTACCACCATGGCTGCCCTAATCTTTAACTTCTTGGAACTCCTGGATCGGATCAGCTATCATTCCAGACAAATGCAGAAGTCATTTTGCATTTTACTGGGAGTAGAATCGATATGCATGTTTTTAGAAATCATTTTAGAGATCTTTCTCCATCAACACTAAAACCTGCTAACAGAATTATCTCTGACAAAAACAATATAGCTGCCTTTATAAACACAATTTTACCAAGTGGTAGTTCTCAACTCACTTCTGAGCTACAAACGAATTTTACAGACTGGATTTTTCTTTTAATACTAAAAGTCCATAATTTGGGCACAGTACACCATACTACAGTGACATTATTGCTCAGATGCAGCTGTTTCCTAGCATCAACAACTACTTTCTTACTGACGTTCAACTACTAAATTCATATTCAGATGCCAAAACCCCATTGATTTTCAATGTGTTAAATGTACATATATTTGAATGTTAAACATATATATATTTGAAAGTTTAATCTTTAATAACAGACTATTTTATGCAAAAAAAAAAATCACAACTCAAATTTGTAACTCACAGTCTTTAACCATTAGCCACAATTCCAATAAGAAAACAATCAAGGTTATTTCTAAATAGAAAGAAGCAGCAAACACTGATCTGCCTATGCAAAAGAATGTGGTTTTCTACTGTTCCTTTTGTTTTGAAGCCCAGAATGATATGCTGTTCTCTCCCAAAAATGATTAGCAGCGAGAAAAACTCTAGCCTATAGGTCTTCCAAGTAACAACAACAGGCTAGAGGCAGAGCTAAAAATATACTCCAATTTTTCAAGTCTTAATACTAAACTCCTTCCACGAGATTGTATTGTTTCTCTGAGTATCTAATGTTAAACATCTAAAAAGAAATTTATGAGTCCAACTCTAGGTACTCTGGTTTTGAAACTTGGAGAAAAGCTGGAAAGGGAGGAGAAAAGAAGCAGTAGTAGCTGTAGTCTACTGAACAAAAGAAAGAGTTTGCAGTTCAGCTTAAGAAATAGAAAAGATTCATGCCTCACCTACACCTTTCATATGGAAATCATTTATGGGACAGAAGCCAGTTTTCCTCAGGAAAATGAAACACAATGAAACCCACAGCAGTAAATTCAAATAATTCTGTTGGATTTTAAGAATTACACAAAGATCACACTCCGAATAAAACTTCCGCTGCTGGATACAAAATAAGATATGCCTTTAAATCAAGATAAGCATTTTGTCTTCACTGATAAAAATCACTGTGATGCGTTTTATAAAGACATACAGATAGACTAATATTCACCACTTGAAGAGTTTCAATGATCATCTTAAATACCTGCATATTACTCTTTATCATTAGAAAACTGTCACTACAGATACAGTAGAGTGCTTAAGTCTTGGTCCCACATACTTCCTAGGTAATAGAGGCAAAAGTATAATACCATTCCAATTGCATCTACAGTTTCAGAAGTATTTGACTGCCATTTAAAAAAACTAAAATGCAACATGCATGTTTACACACACACACACACACTAGAAGTTTATATTGACACCTATATAATGAAAAGCATGATCACAGTTTTGTGAATTTGATACTATCAGAGCAATGAATCTGCATTATGCAGGTCAAAGTGTCACTCTGTATTAATAACAAAATACATACATAACCTAATGATGTCATACTGTTGCTATATTGTATTTCCAGTTATGTGTAGGGTTTCAGTGCATTTAGAAGTATTGTACTGAAACGCTAACTGAATTGCATGCTGACTTAACGAGAAAAAATTGCTACAAACATCCGTTCAGAATCTGTAAATGAAATCTGCTCCCATTTCAAAGTCTACATTACATTTTGTAAAGAAGTTGGGCTTTGTGCATGTGTATAATCTGGTTACCTGTGACACATTTGGGAGATTTTACCTGTCCAACCAAGCCAGCAGACTTTTAGCTGCTCCAATGAGATCCACTACCGATGTCAGAAAATCATTCGGTAACTTGCGGCTGGTCCTTCCGTCATAGTGACCACTCCTCCTCCTCCCAGTGATGAAGTTCTGCAGATTTTTAGCAGATGCATTCAGTTTGTGAGAAAGGGTTTTTAGATTTTCTGTTTCCAAACCATAGTTCTGCATTGAAAAAAAAGACAAAGAAAAGAAAGTTAGCTTTGCAGCTGAACATGAAGTACCAAGAACAGCAAGACTGCTCTTCTGCTTCAAAACTTAACCACTCCTAATAATTAAGGTAGAAATACACCCACTCGTTAGTTTTTAAATGTATGGCATGTTCTGTTTCTAAAGCGCATAAAAATAGAGCAAAAGAAGAGTAAAATTATGAGTGATCATTTAGCTGGTTTTAAGTGCACTGAGAAAAACATCTCAAAACAAAGAGAAAACCTAGTCTGGAAGGTTGATTTTCAAAGTAGTGCATCACTCTCAGTAAATCAGATGGTTCTCGCAGTAGATCTGATGGTTAGGAATCAGGTTGTCATGTCCGTACTAGGACCAAATGCTAAGATCACGTTAGGTAAGAGGGCTTGCAACTAGCAGAAGTACACAGCATGGACACAAAGTGTTGATTTCAGTGAAGAAAGCATGTCCATTACCTTATTTTTATTCTTGTTAACAGTAAAGGTCCAGAATCATGGACCACAGAACACAGTGCTACTCTGCTCAATGTTTATGTTGCCTTTTTGAAGTCAAGTTGTAAACTTCGCTTCTATTTAAGAGTCAATCCCTTCAACTTAAATTACATTCCTCAGCTGTGTAGCAGAGAAAGAAATTATGCAGAAATATTAACAAACAGTACTTGAAAATCCTTCAAATACACAAATGTTGCTGAAATAGCACTAGAGAATGCCCTAATTTAATGTACAATTACAATATAATATAGTACCATCAGTGATGTTATTTCTATAATGGATTTGTTTTCCTCACAAATGCAAAGAATAATAAAGAGTTATTTTGAGAGATCTTCTTTTGCTTTTGTAAATGAATAAGCAACTGCATAGACATGACCCTGTTATTTCTGTAAGAGAAAGACAGGAATTCTTAAGGTGCTCCTCGCCTTAACCACATCACGGGGTTATAATATGGGGTGCTCACTACTTGTTCAGTTGACGATGGAAAGGGCTACTTACTATCGAAGGTGGACCATTTCCTGCCAAAAATGATGATGATGTAGGATGCAGAAAACCCCTGAGCTGAACACAGAAAAATCTACTTCCTAACACCACTCCCTGTCCTCACCAGAGATGGGAGAAGGGATGCATTTGCCAATGCTAATTTAAGACCGCTGAAGCTTATTTACCTTAGTCTTTTTTTCTATAGGAAATGGGAGTGGGGTGTGTGGTTATTTACAGCAGTTGTCATGCTCCTAATCCAAACCATCTACTAAATGAACTTAATCTCCTCTTTAATTACACGGGGCCTGCTGGAACATTACACTGAAGCTACACCCTGCGACCCCCAGCCCCCCCACAACGTCCACTCCCAAGCAAATGGTAGGTCACCACAGAAAGAAGAGACTCCAGCACACGGCTTGTCTGCCGTCTCCCAGCCAGCCCCTCTTCGCGCTTGTAAACCAAACACACTTCACGAGGGTGCTGCTAGAACAACAGCCATCTTTCCGCAGCAGAAGATGCACACTGGGACTTGGCTGACGCTGAAAGTGGACACGCACTAAGGCTGCGCTTTAAAAACCACTACTGTAACTGCTGTGAACATCCATATTTTGGGCAAGGAAAGCTTTGTGGGCATGTTTCTCAATCGCAGTGTCTGCACAGGCGCCATCCTCTGCCACGACGTCTAGCTCCCAATTAGACAAACCGTATGTTTGGGCAGTGACTTTTCCACCACGGAAATATTCAATAGCAATTAAACAACAGATAGAATTAGCTTATAAATAAAAAATTACAAGATGAAAACAATAAATTGGGATGGAAAAATAAAATGTACTTTATTATGCAGTTAAACACCTCATAACTAATAACTTATAAGATCAGTCCAAATTAAAGAGATAAACATCAGATAAAAATAAATTTGTTTTTGCTGCAGTTTTCTGTGGTTGCTGTGGCTGAGAGAGCATGATGAAGACTGAGGACTGGGCAGAAGTAAACTGGAAACAAACACCAGGTTTTTTGTTCTTTCATCCTGCTTCTTGAGCATCTAGCTCATTTTGGCACATTTAACAGGGGAGGAAGCAAATGAAAGATATTCTGGATGAAAGATAAGTCACACAAAATGTCTTACAGATCAGCCAAACCAAAGCCCCGCTGCCAGCGAGCCCCAGGACACCTGCACAACATGGCGCTTACCTCCCCCAAACACGGGGGGAATGACCGCAAACTGCAGGCTGCCCACAAGGCTCCTCACAGGGTTTCCTTCTTTCTGACACACTGAAATGCTGAACTTTTAATTCAGGCGCTGTGCCTAAGCAGCTGAGTGCGATCCTCCAAGTACCACGCCCACCTTCAAGCCTCCGGGGGAGGAGCTGGCCGGGCCCCGGGCCCCCCCTACC